CCCCCGCACTCTGCTGGAGGGCTGCTGAGTGGAGTCGCAGGGAGAGTGAGTGCCTACAGCGGGAGCGTCTCTTGCTTGAGGCTCTCCCTCCCAAACACCCCATCTCCTGGGGGGGAGGTGGGGCTGGCCTTGGGCAGGGCCCCCACATCCAGGTGTTTCTGGGACGCAGCGTGCCTTCGGGCAAAGGTGCTTTCTGGGCTGTCTTCTATCCCAGCCCAGAACCCCACCACCGTCCCTTCCCCTGGGCCGTCCACAGCTCTTCCCACCCTGCCTCCTTCCCCGTCCACCTGGACACCAAGGGTGCTCCCCTTCCCAGCCTGTCCCTGCACCGGGGCCAAGGCCGCTGGCTCCGCCATCCCAGCGCCTCTTCCAGCTTCCGTGGTCCAGCCACGCCCGGCGCCTGCCCGCCGCACAGTGAACCTCCCCCTGACAGCGCTCCGGCCTTTCCTGGGAGGGTTAGTCCTGCAGGGCCGGTCATCCTGCAGGCTCTGGCCAGGCTGTGGGCCCCCTTCTGCCCGTAGGACATGCCTGCAAAGATAGTGCTGTCCAGTCCAGGTGCGCTCTCTGACCCTCTACCTGGCAGCCTTACCTCGGGTGACCAGGAGGAGGCCCTGGCCGTCACGGGACTGCTGGACACTTACTCAGGCTGGCCGGCCAGCCCAGGAAGGCGGGGGCCGTGGTGCCTGTGGTGCCCGCCCCTGGGCTGACGCCAGCCTGTGCCCTGCAGCTGTGGCTCAGCTTCGCGCCCGTGGCAGACACCATCGCCCAACACTTCCTCCTGTCCACCGAGCAGGTCAACTGGCTCTCTCTGGTCTACCTGGTGGTGGCCATCCCTTCCGGCCTGGTGGCCATCTGGATTCTGGACTCAGTGGGGCTCCGCTGGGCAGTGAGTTAGACCCATACCAGGGCTGCTGTGGGTTGGGGCGGGGCCCTGAGGGCTGGGAGGCCATTGCCCCTGCCAGACCAGAGTCCCCAGGCAGAGCTCCTGACCACTCCCTGCAGACCATCCTGTGTGCGTGGCTGAATTTCGCCGGGAGCGTGCTCCGTACCCTGCCCTGCATGTTGTTTTGGATCCAGACCCCATTTGCCCTCCTCATGGGGGGCCAGAGCCTGTGTGCCCTGGCCCAAACCCTGGTCATCTTCTCTCCGGCCAAGCTGGCTGCCTTGTGGTTTCCTGAGCACCAGCGGGCCACGGCCAACATGGTTGGCACCATGGGTGAGTTGAGGGGTGAACGTCTCCTCTGGCTCAGTGAACGGATCCTGGCCCCTCTGCGCCCCCAGGTCTTGGAGGCGGAGGGCTCCCCTGGGGGCTGGGGACCAGGCCAGGCCACGGCTGACCTGACGGGTGTCTCTGTCCGTCCATCCAGCAAACCCCCTGGGCATCCTCCTGGCCAACGTGTTGTCGCCTGCCCTGGTGAAGAAGGAGGATGACATCCCCATAATGGTGAGGGGGCTCACGGGGTGCACCCCCACACACGTGTGTATGCGTGTGGTGTGCACGCGCGTGTATGGCCGTGTATTGCACACGCACATGTATGTATATTTGTGTAGTGTGTATATGTTTGTGTGGTGCACACGTGTGTTTGTGTGGTGCATACATACACATACATTTATGTGGCACACATGCATATTTGGTATGTGCACACACGTATGTTGTGTGGTGCACACATGTTTGTGTGTGGTGTGTGCACACGTGCATGTTTGTGTGATGCACACATGCACATGTTTGTGTGTGATGTGTGCACACATATGTGTTTGTGTGTGATATGTATGCGCATGAGTGATTGGCTCTCATGGGCACAAGTATGTCCACATGTCTTTGAGAGTGTGCACCTGCCCCACCTGGTAGCCACATGGGGCAGTGCACTCGGAGCAACACTGCCAAAGCTGTGGGTGCGGGGGCAGCCGGCCGGACGGGCAGGCCCCCCAGCCCGGGCTCCCCCTTGTCCACGTCGCCCAGGGAGGTGGGTGAGGTGGCGTGGAGCCCGAGCGGCACGCCCAAGGGGCCTGTGCAGTGCATGTGTCTGCGGGGCCTGCGTGTACCTGCACACACATGTCTGTGTGCACTCCCCTCCCCAGCTGGGCGTCTACATCATCCCTGCCGGCCTCGCCTGCCTGCTGGCCACCGCCTGCCTCTGGGAGAGCGTGCCCCCCACCCCGCCCTCCGCGGGGGCTGCCCACTCCAACTCGGAGAAGTTCCTGGACGGGCTGAAGCTGGTTGGTTTTGTGGGCTCTGGGGCTGGGGAGGGGCCGGGGCAGGGAGAGGCCGGGG